AAGTGCTTACCTGCTTGCAGAGAGGTTGGGCATGGTGGGAAAGGGATTGTCCAGGCAGGGATAAGCCTAAGCCTGAGCCTGTGCTTTTTACTTATCTCCTCACTTCTTGCGGTACCCTTCAGAGGATTTGGAAGCATCCCAGGGTGCCCTGGAACCCTGGCTGAGAATCACTGTTATGGAATCATATAAAAGTAGTGCTGGAAGGACCTCAAGAGGTCATCTAGTCCAGTCTGCTGCTCAAAGCAGGAACATCCCTATCCAAATTATTCCATACAAGTGCTTTTCTAACCTAATCTTAAGACTACACAAACACACAACTACAAAGCACATAGCTCAAAGATACCATGAACACCCTAGCTTGTCACAGGTAAAGCAGGGGGAGTAGGGCACTGTCACCACAATTATTCTTAAATATACTTGAAAGATCCAAGGAAAAAGACTTGGCAGTTTCCTGTGTGTCCAGGGAGCTCTGTTAAACGATGCACACTGTTGGCTTTGCTAGAAGGGGCTAGAGAAGGTGCACCAACCATTGCCAACCTTGAACAACTCAGTTGGCATACTGCAACCATCAGTCACCCCCCTACATGTTCACCATAAGAAACCTCAGAAATCCAGTCCCTCTGCCATGTCAGAACTTTGGACAGACAGACCAACTTCATCTGAAAGGCTGGAAACATGAACAGGTCTAGATGCAGCAGTACAACATCAGCATAAAGGTGCAGAACAAGATTGGGTTGCCTGTTGAAGGACAAACAACAAGACATGGTGACGGGTACCATTTTTTTTATTGGAAAGGCAGAGCCTCAGGAGAAAGCAGAGTTCATGATGTAGAATTTGCCATCGAGAATTGCATTGTGTCCTAATTAACTAATCTCCCCCATGGTATTAATGTAAGACATAATGCTCATTCCTTCCAACAGCTGGACAGCTTGCCACAATTATCAGTGCATATGCCCCTACAGTGACATTATTATAGCATCATAGTAAGAAAAAAGTCTTTTACACTGCATTAAGTGGAATACTCGCTTCTATCCCTAAACTGCCTAAAACTATTTCAATGGGTAATTTTAATGCTAGCATGGGGAACGATCATGTTGCCTGGAAAGAATATTGGGAAAGGAGTTGGCAATATGAAAAGGCAGTGTTCAGCTCCTCGGGACATGGGCAGAATATAATTATGTTATCATCAGCACTCGATTCTACCAAAGAGATGTACACAAAATCTCCTGAATGTACTTGGTGTTTAAACACTGGTATCTGATAAACTACACAAAAGTATGTGCCTAAAACTGTTTTGATGTTCATATTACCTAATTTTGAGATGTGCTGATGACTGCAGGATGGACCACAAGTTAATTCAGAGCAAACTAATCTTTTGTGTTGCTCCTAAAAGCAGGAAAAGTAATATTGTCATTAAGAAATCCAAGGAAAGTCAAACTACTTTGATCCCAAATATATCACTATACTCAGAATAGTAATAAACAAGAAAAATAAGTTGCTGTAGCTACTCAAACAGCAAAAGATAATTGGGAGCTCTTTGGACACTATACTATCAATGGCTCCCCAAAATTCTTGGCATCATATTAAAGAAACACCAAGTTTGGTTTGATGAATTTGAAAAAACAAGGCACTTGTAGTGGGCAAATATCCCTTTATCTAATATCACTGGAAGAGAAATAAGACTGGAAGCTGTTGACTATTTCATCTATGTTGGACATGTTCATTCAGAGTAATCCATTATTGGCAGAGAGTGTTCTGTGCATTAGAAATCATCACCTTCTGAGCATTTTCACAGTTATATTTTCAAATGGTGTGGGAACAAAATGGAGACCAGGATTCAAATGCATTATGCAGTGGTGCTTTCATGGGTGTGAAGCCTGGATCATCTTCCAAAAGTACATCAAAGAATCTGAGTGCTTCCATCACAACACAATTGAGGAAATAGAGTTACCAATGCCATAGTGCTTCAGAAGGCTAAGACAACTGAAATTGAAGCCATGATGGTTAAAACACAGCTTTGCTGGGTAAAAGTCAGGCTATTTGGCCTGCCTGTTGTAGCCACTCATCTTAGTCTGCCACCCGCCTGGCGGAATATTGAGGTGAGATACAGGTGGTCAGAACCTTCCATCAGGGCCTACCTGTCCACCCACTCCCTGCTACCGGAGTGGCCACCCAGGGTCAGTGACCCTTCACTCCTTTCTATAAACCCCCCCCTGACTTGGAAGATGAACTATCTGGGCATCAGTGCTTAACTTGTACTTAGGCTGCTTTCCCTTTTGCTCATGCCTCTATCAGCTCTCTGACTCATCCCTCAGACTCTGTGTTCTGCTTGATCCTTTGGCTGCCTAATCCATCTCCTGGCTTGATCTCCTGGATACCTGACCCAGCTTGCCTTATGACTGCACACTCTGGCCAAACCTCTGACTTCCTGACTTGGCTTCTCAGATTGACCTCCTGGCTTCCTGACCCAGCCCATACCTGGATTCAGTCCATTCCTCCTCAACCAGTTTGACACCTTGTTCGTCTGAATGACCCCTGACCTAGCTGCCCATGACAATAGCTTGTGTTCAGAGACTCCCTACCCAAGCAGTCAGTATACAGTAAGCTATAGGCTGGCCATTGTAAGAAGACCAACCATATATTATATGGCTTATATATTGTATTGCTAGTGTATTGGCCAATACATAAGCAACACAACATATAACCCATATAATATAAACTATAGTATAAGCAATAGAAAGTTAATATGAAAACTGCCTTTAAAAAGTGAAAATTTCTGGCAAGGTGTTTTTATAAATAAACAATAATGTTAGGCCACACTAAAATCTGGCTTGACCAGTTCTGAAAAATCCCAGTGATGTTGATGATTCTGAAAATGAATCAATAAGAAGGGAAATAGGAAGGTTTGAGCAACTCAGTTATAAACACAGATGATAATTTCACCTCCTGCTCTTACTTGCTCATTCTGTAACCAGACCTTTCTCAAGAATCAGACCCAGAGGTAAAAGTAAGGATACCTTCCATCCATCTCAAGGAAGTGCTGTGATTGAAATGTAAATATGACAAATTGAAAGTAATTGTTCTGAGCCTGGAGTCCTCTTAAAACTTTGAACTTCTTTATAAATAAACAAATAATATGTGAATCTGCAGGCCATTTAGCAGTGAGACCTAATAAATAATAGTCCCATGCTATGGTATATTTACATTATGGAACATGAGATGGGAGGTAGTAAAAGAGGCTTTTCTATAGGAATTTTAAAAACTAAATCAGAATTGCATCTTCTTGTGAAAAGCACAAGAAGTATTGTTTTGTGATTGGAATCCATGCAGGAGGTCAGTGAGAGTCATGCACAAAGTATAGTCTAGTTCCTCTAGTAATAACAAAGTTGAAACCCTTTGTATTCTGTTTATCATCATCATCATCCTTATTATTATGATTATTATTATTACTACTGCTCCATGTGAGGAGAAAAGGACACAATACTGTCATGCATGATTGTTTTCCATTTCCTATCCTTATCACTACTTCTTACCTCACACTTACATGGACAACAGTGAGACAGGGTTGTGTATGATCCAGCCCTTTTTATACATTCAGGCTAAGTACAGATAGTCAAAAAGCCCAAGGCTGAATTGATTTTCATCTTCACAGGTTAGTCTAAGCTGTGTAGATTGAACAGACATTCACTTTTGATTCTGGAAATGCAGCCACCTGCCTGCAGTTGCTCAGGTCAAAACCCAGGGTGTGCTAAAGCACACCTCCCTGCTCTGCTGGAGCAGATAGCTTGGGCCAAGGGTGGCCTGCTCCCCCTGCAAGGGAGCTTTGTGGGGGAGGTACAAAGCATCCTGGGTTGTTGAGGGACTGTGAGTTAACCTGAATCTGGAGGGGATCTGGGACAGAAGTTCAATAAACTGATTTAACCTAAATTGGTTAAATCTGATACTATGTCCATCCAGGTTTATCTTAAACTGATTTCAGCCATTTTGAAAGCAGTTTGTGCATCAAACTTCTGTTGTGTTACAGATCTGAACCAGTTTCCAATCACTTATACCACTTACGTGTAATTTCTGTCCCTAGCCTCCATAGTACACAGACCTGATTCAAAGAAGTCAGCTTTTATACATAGTCACATTTAAAAAGAAAATCATCAGATATATGATCTTTGGGTTAATATGATTTAACATACTCAGAGGCATTTCACAGTAAGGTAATTGGAATCCAAGAATAAAGGAAGAAAAGGAAATATAGAAACACATGTGCATTTTGCCATCATAGAAAAAAAATATTTTTATCAGAGGGGTGATGAGCAGTGTTGGCACCCTGGGCAGACCCTGCAGGAGAGCGGGAAGGGAGTTCCAAGAGTGGGGGCAACAGGGCACTCAGCAGTTTTACCCATGCCAAGAGCTTGTAAACAGTCTTTGGATAAGCTGCTGCCGCCTCTGCCACATGCTCTGCCCACCCTGCACTGATGCTTTTAAAGCAACAGCAGCAACAGCCAGGGACTCTTTTGGACTTCCCTGCAGGAGTAAGCCATGCAGCCGTTCTTGCTGCCAGGATGTGGACTCTATCGAGTTGGGAGATGATTCTGGTGCCCCTCCTAACTTGGCATCCAGTGCCCACCCCCTCTCACCTACCCCTTGGTGTGCTACTGATTTTCATTTTTAAATGTTTCCACTGCCTGGAATGCTAACATTCTGGTTTTGTTTAAGAAAGAATTTAAAGCTATTTAAAAAAAAAAAAAATCACACCAAAAAGTTATGTGCGAGGATGCTCAAATGAAATGAATCTAAATGTAACTTGTCAGGTAAAAGAAAATGTCTTGGTCCAAAAATGTGTTTTTTCTTGGTAGAATCTGGAGCTTGGCTTGCTTGTGACTTTTTGCATGCTAATGAGCTCCTATGCTGGCTTGCTGTAGTACTTCTCTAAAACAGTAATAAAGCAGATATGAAACTTCTTATTTCACTGTCACTGAACCAGTTTTGAATTAATTTCTGGGCAGATGGATCAGGAGAGATGTCACTTGGACGTCAGGAGGCTTTTGAAATTTTCAAGAGGGATTATGCTGATAATGTGACCATCGAGGACAACAAACAGCTTCTTAAACAGAGGTAGGTATCACAATGAGGTACAAGCACATTTAAATCTCTACAGTGTCATTGTGACTCAAAGAGTGAGAATATGTTATTTTTTTAAAACTCAGAGCAGAAATAGTGCCTTTGTATGCTGGGAAGGTTTCTTGTTCAGTATGTGCTCAAAGATGTAGGATAAGAGTGAGATTACATGTTAGAGTTAGCAGGTGCTACTTGTAAGGAATGTTAGCCAGTATTAAGGGTAACAAGTGCTAGAGCCCAGTCACATGTTCAGGGTTAATACCTTTCTCTGGTGTGCACTACTCATTAGAGGGCTAGTGAGCAAGGGCATGGCTTGGGACTGCAAACCTGCCCTGCTTTCTGGCTCTCTAGCCACAGTATAGGCCAGGGAGAGAGGGGGGAAGGAGCCGCCTGTGCTGTTTGGATCACCCCCCAGTTACAGGTTGCTACCAAGAAAGGGAAAGCCCAGAAAAAGCCCCTTTAGGGCTAGAACCTTTTGGGCCAGCAGGGGCCTAAGGCCATAAAAAGAGCCTAGGGGGAGACAGGGAAAGCCAAGCAGCAAGCTACCCACTAGCTCAAATACTGCAGACACAGAGACTCCTGCCAGGTGGAGCAAAGTAGGTCAGACAGCTGGAAAGGGGGTGGGTCTAGGGAATATAAAAGCTCACCCCAGAAGAGAGAGGGTGAGGTAGGCCCTGACTATGGAAAAGAATGGATTGCCTTTCCCAGATGGCGGAAAGGCTATAATGGGTCAAGTAAGTCACCTGCCAAGGAGATCACATTGCAGTCTGAGATTTGTTTTTTCCCCCTTTGCTTGAGCAGTAGGCCTGAGGAGGAAAACCCTGAGTTAGGACTGTGTGTGTTTACCCGGAGGCAAGTAGGAACTTTTAAGTTGAGATTTTCCGTTCGCTGGACACCTGGGAGACCAGGAGTGGCTATAAGGGGAGATGAGGCTACGTAACAGGGTGCCCCAACATCCTGTATGATATCCTTCCCTTGGAGGAGGTCAGAGGCACAGGCAATGCATAAGGCAGGAACTTGAGCTGGGCAGCAGGGCCTAAGCACCTTCTGCTATGGCATAAAGGGTTAGGTGGTTTGTAGACTGAACCTGGGTTCTGGGTTTTGAGTTCCAGACCCTGGAAGGGAGCAAGCCCAGAAGCAGTTGAGAGAGAGTTTGGAGGCCCCAGAGCTACAGAATGAATGGGGCCCAAAACAGGTCAGACTCCAGTGGGGAGCCAACAAAGTGACATTTGAAATAAGATAGTGAGCCAGCAAACACAAGAAGTCCTGTTGGGTGGTGAGACCTTGTCATCAAATTCCTTTTCCCCATGCTCCCTTTGGAGAGGTAGGACATCTCCCAAATCACTTCTTTCTTCCAGCAAGGTGTGGCAGATGAATTGGAACTGGGGGATGACAGGACTGGCTATGATGAGATGGGGAGCCCCTCTTCTCGAGTCCTGTCACATGTCCTGAATTACTCTGCTGCCCCCACATTGGCTTCTCCATCCCAAGATCACTGCTCTGCCACCCTAATCAGCCCAAGAGCAGTGATGGTGGTAGGAACAGCACTGATTTACTTTGCTCCTCCCTCCTGCCCCCACCTTCAGTTGTAGGGCCTGGTGGTAGCTAGATCTGGGTGCATGTGGGTGGTGTGGTGTCCAGGCCCCCAAGGACTGGGAAGGGAAGGGCAACCTTCTCCTCGCTGGTGTCTCTGCTGCTCTTAAGCTGATCAGGATGGCAAGTGATCCAAGGTGGAGGGGACAGATCATGGTAGCGGGGTGGATGATGTGGAGGGGGCAGCTTGGGAGTAGAGGTGGACAGCCTGGCAGTTCCTCCTTCTCCCCATTTTACCTTCCTCCCCATTTACCTATTATCCAGTGGTTGTCAGCTATCAGTTCAGGGACATAGAGTCCTGGATGACAGTCCACCTTGGAGCAGTACCTCCTGGAATACTGGAGGACTTCAAATTGGTGGATTTATCTCAGATGAATACCCAGAAATTAATTTACTTCAAGCTAGGTAACACAACTCAGAGATAATCCTCATTTGAAATGGTGTAAGGCACCTAGAGGGCATTTAGCACCTAATTTATCACACATTAAGGCTCATTGACAAGTTTTGAGCGCTCTTAACATGTTCTAATTATTATGTGTAATCTCATCCTAATAATCTAAATGGAATATCCAAACTAATCATAGATTATCTGTCAGTACTCGGTTTTACTCTTCTTCTCACTTTACCATTAGAGATTATATCTCACAAGAGGGTACTGACAGTTAAGAATTATGCAAAGGAAGTTGGAATCATGTGACTAAATTCATTACTGTGATATTCATTGCAAGAAATATCTTTATAGATTCAGGAACTAAATTAAAACATCAAACTGGGATTTATAAAATCTGTGTTCTAGTCCTGCTAATGACTTGTTGCGTGTTATTAGTCAAAGCATTTTAAATTCCCTCTGTTTCAGTTTCCCTTCTCTCAAATAGAAATAGTAATACTTTACTACCCTCAGATTAATTAATGTTTATAAAGCAGAACTCGGGGCAGAATTCAGTTTCTCTTTGTGTGTCCAAGTGTCAGACTTCTAGCCATGTAAGTGGGTAGCAATACTACATTGCTTATACTGTGGATGCATAAGTGTGCATGTATAGACTGGGCATGTACAGTAGCTATGCACTGGCCAAACAACTACATAGATGTGTGTATACACTCATTCTGGACACACAAGGGCATCCAAGTCATGCAACTATACCCACATAGAAAACCATTATTAATAGAGGCTGGATGTCAGATAGATGCCGCTATATAAATAAAGTACAAAAACTTTTTCATTTGTTTCGCTAAAAATAAAATAATGTTGAGCCTGAATCAATCTGCCAGGAGTTTGTGGCCATTACTACTGGTTTTCCCCTTGGGTGCCCTGGTGAACAGTTGCTCACCGAGCCCTTGACGTACTCCCTTAGTGTAGCGGTAAGCTGCTATCAGGTCCTCTCTCAGCCTCCTTTTCCTTAGGCTGAAGAGTCCCACATCCCTCAACCTTTCCTCATATGGCTTGCTGTGTAAGACTCTGATCATACGGGTGGCTCTTCTTTGGACTCTCTCAACCTTGTCCGCGACTTTGTTGAAGTGTGGTGCCCAGAACTGGATGCAGTACTCCAGCTGCACTCTCACCAGTGCTGAGCAGAGAGGAAGAATCACCTCCTTGGTTTTACTGGAGATGAATTGATTGATGCATGCCAAATTATTACTTGGCCTACTGAGTGCACTGCTGGGTCATATTCACACTGTGGTCCGTTATTACCCCCAGGCCCCTTTCATTCATGGTGCTAGTCAGTTTGGTGCCACCAAGCCTGTAGGTGTGTTGGGGGTTGCTTGTCTCGAGGTGGAGGTACATTTCTTGACGCTGAACTTCATCAGATTCCGATCCGCCCAACTTGCTAGCCTGTCTACGTCTGCCTGTAACTGTAACCTATCTTCAAGTGTGACCACACTTCCCCATAACTTGGTGTTGTCCACAGACTTGGCCAGTGAGCTCTTCACCCTCACATCCAAATCGTTAATAAAGAAGTTGAAAAGTACTGGACTGAGAACCAATCCCTGCGGCCCACTTCTCACCAGGATGACACAGATCCATTCACTATGACTCTCTGGGTCCTATCCTGCAGCCTGTTTCTCACATACCTGACTGTCTCAGAGTTAAGCCCACAATCCTCCAATTTTCTCTCAAGGACATTGCGAGTTTACTAGATCAAAGGTCTTTTTGGAAGTCTAGGTACACAATGGCAACCTGCTCTCTCGTGTCCAGGTGATGAGTTACCTGGTCAAAGAACATGAGGTTTTATAAGGCAAGACCTGCCTGCGACAAAGCCATACTGGCTGTCATTCAGAAACTTACCTTCTGCAAACTTATTGCAAATAGACTCCTTGATGAACTTTTCTAGGATTTTCCCTAGGATGGAAGTTAGGCTGATTGGCCTATAGTTCCCCAGGTCTTCCCTCCTGCCCTTCTTGTGGATGGGCACAACACTGGCCCTCTTCCAGTCCTCAGAGACTTCTCCACAGCACCTCGAGTTGTGGAAGAGTTTTGCCAGGGTTTCCGCAATGGCTTCAGCCAGCTCCTTTATGACTCTCAGATGAAGATCATCTGGGCCTGCTGACTTGTATACTTCTAATTTTATTAACTGGTCATACACCAGTTCTACAGCAATGGTAGAAAGGTGATTATTCCTACTGTGCTCATCCTCTACTCTACCTTGAGTGGTTTTCCCTTTGGTCCGGTGAACTTCCTTGTTTAAAAAATTTGCAAACCGTATTCACTATGACTAGAATGTCATAACTTCTTCACAGTTAGGGTGCCCAGACTGTGGAATAAGCTCCCTCCAGAGGTGGTGCAATCGCCGACCCTGGAAATCTCCAAGAGGAGACTAGACGGTCACCTTGCTGGGGTCACCTGACCCCCAGTTATCTCTCCTGCCTGGTAAAGGGGGCTGGGCCCGATGATCTTCCATGGTCCCTTCCAGACTTACAGTCTATGAATCTATGAATTTTCAGACTGCTCAAAGTCTGAATTTTGTTCATCTAAACTAGTCAGGGAATGTTTACAAATAGAGCAAACAGGAAACTGAAATTTCTATTCTGTGGAAAAATGACATTTTGACTTTCCAAAATAGAAAAAAAAATCCTGACATTGTAAAATTTCACATGAAACAAACATTTCCAAACCATTGAATGCTATGTTTAGTTAAAGTAAAGCATGTTTTGTTTCAATTTTCCTATTGTATTAAAATAGTGTATGGAATATATGGAATTAAAATTAATGCGGTGGTGTTCAACTATTGGCCTGTGGGCCAGATCCAGCCTGCAGAGCCCTGTCATCCAGCACGCAGAGCTCATTATTGATCCAAAAATCATGTGGCGGCGAGCAGTGGCAGCATTAATTGCCACTTCTTTGTTGCCAAATTGCCAGACCTGTGGAGAGACATGGCCCTGTGTGCTAGATTGTACTGGCTTGTGTGCAGCCAGATTCGGTGTGTAGGACTGCCCTCAAGGACTGATCCCATGTGCCAAACCCACAAGGGATTCAGCCCACAGAGCAATCCTGCACCATTTATTTGGCCTGCAGGGCTAGAAGGTTGGCCACCACTGAATTAATGTAATGCCTAAGTCTAAATGAATGTGAAGAATAAGTAAAGTTGGTAGGGAGGTTGCATTGTTTGTAATAAAAACATGTTGAAATCAGTTGGTTCTCACACACTATTTTGATTTCATCAAAATTGCCTTCCTGATTAAAAACAATTTTGTTGCAAGTAGAACTGATTAAAAAAATTCAAATGACAAATGTTTACAATAACCAGCATGTGTTTGCAAACAGAAAGCAATCTGTATTAATTCAGTAATTTATTATTAACAAATAGCTCTACTAATAGGACCTTTGAGTGACTCCACGTGTCATTTTGTAGGTTTGCTGAAGCAAAATCCCTGGGAGAAAAAGTAAATGAAGTAAGAAATAAAATAAGTAAGTGGACTTCTTTTAACTTCCTTATATTTGTATAGAATTAGTATGAATTCAGAATGATCTGGGGAGCCAAAACACAATGTAAGTAACTTTTAGATGAGTTTTCAACCTATAATCAATCAATGTGATAATTTTAAGTACCAACTTTGATTATTAAAAATTCCATAATCTGAAATCCTAGGTTCCTGTTGGACAGAATATGTAATTTCCAGATTATGGTCATGATTATGATGGACATCACTTATCTTAAAGAAGAATTTAGTCATCTTAACAGGCTGTTAGCATTTAAGATTCAGAATTTTATGAAGAACAAATCCAAATGTATGTGTAGTTTAGATTGCAGACTCTCTGATGATGGATTGTATTTGCCTGTTTATTTATACCAGTGGTGCTGAAACTCCAGCCCACATGCTAGATCTGGCCTTTAGAGTTGTGTCCTCCTACTTGCCGGGCTCCCATTGGGTCCAGACATTTGATGGTCGGGGAGCAGCAGCAGTTCTAATTGTCACTCCCCTGCTGCTGAATTTCCAGACCTGTGGGGAGACCCAGGAGCCAGATAACATGGCCCTGTGCATTAGATTTATGCTGGTTTGCAATTGGGCTGGTACAAAGCCAGATCTAACATTCAAGGACATAGGCATTTGAAATTGAGTAAAGAAAATGATAACAACAATGGCAGGCTTTTTACCAAAAAATAAAGGCAATCATCCTAAAAGCCAACAGGAGTGCAGAATGACTGTGATGCTGGCAATGTGGTATTTTCAGAAATATACCTGCCCTTTATTTCCTTTACGCTATTACATCAGAGAGGATCAGATCCTACCTTCCTTTTTTACCTGTTTACTAGAACTGTAAGGAATGTGTGGAATCTATATATCATTTTTAGGGAAAGTATGTTATGACTCCCCTCACCTCAGTCCCTCTAAAAATTATAAAGCAGATCCTCAAGGAATCCATTTCTAAGCACTTTAAGGAGAAAAAGGTGGTTAGAAATAGCATGGATTCATCAGGGGCAAGTCATGTCTGACCAACCTGATTGCCTTCTATGATGAAATGACTAGCTTTGTGGATGTGGGGAGGCAGGTGGATGTGGTGTACTTTGATTTTTAGCAAGGCTTTTTATACAGTCTCCCACAACATTGTCACAGGAAAGCTAATGAAGTATGAGCTGGATGAATAGAAAACTGACTGGAGCATTGGGTTCAGAGAGTAGTATTCAGTGGCTTGATGTCTAGTTGGCAGCCATTATCAAGTGGAGTGCCACAGGGGCTGGTCCTGGGGTCAGTTTTGTTCAATGTCTTCATCAACGGCCTGGAAGATGGCACAGAGTGCACCTTCAGCAAGTTTGCAGATGACACCAAGATGGAGGGAGTAGTAGATACACTGGAGGATAGGGCTAGGATTCAAAGTGACATAGACAAATTGGAGGATTGGGCCAAAAGGAATCTCATGAGGTTCAACAAGTACAAGGGTACAGTCCTGCACTTAGGATGGAACAATCCCATGCACCAGTACAGGCTGGGGGCTGACTAGTTGGGCAGCAGCTCTGCAGAAAAGGACCTGGGGGTTACAGTGAACAATAAGGTGAATATCAGCCAGCACTGTGCCCTTTTTGCTAAGAAGGCTAAAGGCATATTGGGCTGCATTGGTAGGTGTGTTGCCAGTAGGTCAAGGTAAGTGATTATTTCCCTCTATTCAGCATTGGTGAGACCACATTTGGAGTACTGTGTTCAGTTTTGGGCCCCCCACTTCAGAAAGGATGTGGACAAATTGGAGAGAGTCCAGCAGAGGGCAACAAAAATGGTGAGGAGGCTGGGACACACGGCTTATGAGGAAAGACTGAGGGAACTGGGCTTATTTATTCCAGAGAAGAGGAGATTGAGAGGTGACTTGATAGCAGCCTTCAACTACCTGAAGGGGCATTTGAAAGAGGATGGAGCTAGATTATTCTCAGTGGTGGCAGATGACAGAACAAGTAGCAATGGTTTAAAGTTGCTGCAAGGGAAGTTTAGATTATTTATTAGGAAGAATTTTCTCACTAGGAGGGTAGTAAAACATTGGAACAAGTTACCAAGAGAAGGGATGGAAGCTCTATCCTTGGAGGTTTTCAGAAGCTGGCTAGACAAAGCTTTGGCTGGGGTGATCTAGTTGAGGACGGTCCTGCTTTGAGCAGGGGGTTGGACTAGATGACCTCCTGAGGTCCCTTTCAACCCTAACTTTCTATGATTCTATGACTCAGTTTTATGTTGTGACCTACTAGGCATAAAAGCATTAACTTCCTCTCAAGGACAGCAGAATAAAAGGTCAGTGTTGGTCTCATAGGCATGTCTGAATGTAAATGAGTTACCTTAGCAGTACACTAAAAGATAACCAGGTGTTAACTTTCAATACTTAGCAGATGCAAAATATGTACAAACAACATTATGAGTGCTTGAAACAAAGAACCCGGGTATCAGGACACTGTGTGCTAAAAACCCCGCTGCTCAGTGTGGAAAGATATGTCCTAGTTTTTCAGGGGCAGAGAGGCAGATAGTGCTGCCAGCATGGACATGCCTAAAAGCCTTCCTTTTCCATTCCAGACTAAAGACCCTAAAATCCATGTTCTAGTGAGCCAAAAAACCTGTCAGGTTTTGAAAAGAGTGTCCTGTATAACTGTAAACATCTGTTTGCATAGCTTCTAAAGATGCTAATTCTTAAACAGGGGTTCATTTTCTTTTGCACTTGCTGACAGAGCTGTGGCAAAAAACAACACTGGTAAAGCCAGGGCTCGTTTTCAGAGTAGTGGAGGTATCAAGTTTCTTGTTGCAAAAAGAGGAGGCCTTAGGGCTTAGCAGAAAAACTGGGCCTGTTCCCCTAGATACTTGTCTGAGGACCAAGTTCTTCTTATGGCTCCATGATAAATACTGTATTTACTCAATATAAGATGAGGTTTTTATTCCCCCACTCAGCATGGGGGAGAGCTCCTCATCTCATATTCACATGCAAGGAGAGCTCATTAAATACATTGTCTATCTTTGAACTGCTGCCAAAAGCAGCATGTGCTCAGTAATGGAAACCAACTATGAAGCTGATTAAATGCAGGCAACACTAATCATAACTATAAAACACATGGTCCATTGGGCGAACATACTGATGGGAACCTTTTTTCTTTTTTTTTTTCATCTCTTGGTGTGGCCCTTAAAAAAAAATCAACCCCCAAAAAAACACAAAACAGGCAGATGTTCCCTCCACAGTGAGCGGCCACCAGGCTGGCACCAGAAGGATCAGAGTCAGCCTGGACACCCTCCCCTTGGTGCTGCATTTGATCTTAGCCAAAAGGCTGAACTTTTTCTTTTTTTTCCTTTTTTTTTTTTTTAAGGAAAATTTTTCATGTCCCAAGTCAAATCAATTCTAAATCCATGTGAGTCATTCAAGAACCATATGTGGCCCTGCTACCAGCAACCATCCTCCATCTCCGCCTGGGACTTCAGATACTTCTAAATCCTTTGGTGGGCATCCTATGGCCAGGCCCAACCCCAGGGGCTTTGGGGTTCACATGCCCCCGAGTTTCACTTGCCCTCAGCCGTATGGCCACAGGAGCAGGCTAGGGAGGAGTCTCCCATTTTCATAAAGTTGGTGTATAGCCAAGATCTTCCCACTGGAAGTGAAAGTGGGAGACTAACTATGTATTACCTCAGCTAGAGTACTACCCCTTGCCATGTTCATGGTTTTCCCCAGCCAATAAGAAAACTACGTTAGTGATCATGGTATTTTCCCTGACCCCTAGGCTAGGTTAGGGCAGCCTATTATAATAAAATAGACAGATAGATATAGTACTGCCCATTTAGCACAGTCCCCCTCACCACTGACTCTCTTCAAGTCATGGTGAACCACTACATTGCATACATTTCAACTTCCTCTTCACTCCCACAGCTGAGCTGCATGTTTCTATCCCATTTCCAATGATTCCTGCTTCTTCACCAGTCTTAAATGCCTGGCAAACATCACCAAACAGGTCCCTAAACACCCAGAATCCCTCTGCCACTCCCTCTCTAAGCCTGGTGGATATGATTAGTGTGGTCCTACCCTTGATGACGTAGAGCTGGGGCAGGTTGCCCTGTGTTTCATCTATATGTAAATTTTTGGAGGATCCCAGGACTCATAACAAGAACACCCAGTTCCAGTCATGAGTGGGGGGCTAATTAACACATGGATCTTGGGGGAGGTATCTGGATTCAGATACTGAGCAGTGATGAGCTATGGGATCACCATGGGTTGAAATGCTGTTGACGCTGCTGGTGCCCAGCCCACAGAACTATACGGTAAGTCATGAGCCTTTTTGGCTTTGGACTAATTTGCATTGTGCGCACACCTACACATGCACTTTACTGAACATTAAACTAATCTAATGTGCAGTAAATTATCACCATCTACATGTGCGCAGCAATTGCTGTGCAGTAGATTAATGTGAAGCACAGTTTGCTATTACCGATGGATACAGGTACTATCCAATGGTGCTTTACATTAATGCACCTGAACGCACATGTAGATGCTAACACAGGAGCAAATTGCTCCTGCTCATCCCATGCAGTATGGAGCCACAACTGCTGCTGAGTTTATCCCTGAGTTCTTGGAGGGGTGGGGGAGGAGCTGCCCCCAACTCCAGGGGCAGCCCCAAGCAGTGGGGAGCTCAGAGCTGGGTGGGCAGGGCAGGGCAGTGACAGCCCAGTGTCCTGGGCTGGCAATGGGGAGCTGTGGCCCCTGCTCCATGCCTCTGTGGGGCTTGGCCTCATGGTGCCCTGGGTGCCTTGGAGCATTGCAGCAGGGGAAGGTGGTGTTAGGTGGGGAGTGGGTTGCAGGTGACCAGTGCAAATCAGGGCAAAGTTTGCCTGACTTTCCTTGCTTGATCCCCAGGAACCGGACAGCCACAGCTGGCAGAGGGCTGCCTCTGCCTCTGGCTAGCTGTTTCCTCCCACTCTGCACCTCCTAGGTGGTGAGGGGTCCCTGGCAGAGGGTGTGTC